GTCCCTCCGGAAAGCAGATAAGGGTGGGGAGGGAAAGATGTCTTTGGTGGTGGGGTCGGATTGCAGATGGCGGAAGTGTCGGAGGATGATGCGTTGGATCCGGAGGTTGGTGGGGTGGTACGTGAGGACGAGGGGGATTCTTTTTTGGTTTTTATTGCGTGGACGGGGTGTGAGGGATGAGGTGCGGGAGATGTGGGAGACACGGTTGAGGGCGTTCTCGACCACCGAGGAGGGGAAGTTACGGTCCTTGAAAAACGAGGACAACTGAGATGTACGGGAGTGGAATGCCTCATCCTGGGAGCAGATGCGGCGGAGGCAAAGGAATTCCTGCAAAAATGCCATCCCCTATTCCCAATTCCTTCGCTAAGGCATTCCACTCCCGTACATCTCAGTTGTCCTCGTTTTTCAAGGACCGTAACTTCCCCCGCTCAGTGGTCGAGAACGCCGTCAACCGTGTCTCCCACATCTCCCACAACTCATCCCTCACACCCCGTCCATGCAATAAGAACCATAAAAGAATCCCCTCGTCCTCACGTACCACCCCACCAACCTCCGGATCCAACGCATCATCCTCCGACACTTCCGCCATCTGCAATCCGACCCCACCACCAAAGACATCTTTCCCTCCCCACCCTTATCTGCTTTCCGGAGGGACCACTCTCTCCGTGACTCCCTTGTCCGCTCCACACTCCCCTCCAGCCCCACCACACCCGGCACTTTTCCCTGCAACCGCAGGAAGTGCTACACCTGCCCCCGTACCTCCTCCCTCACCCCCATCCCAGGCCCCAAGAAGACTTTCCACATCAAGCAGATGTTCACGTGCCAATGTGGTATACTGCATCCGCTGTACCCGGTGTGGCCTCCTCCACATCGGGGAAGCCAAGCGGAGGCTCGGGAACCGCTTTGCAGAACACCTACGTTCGGTTCGCAATAAACAACTGCACCTCCCAGTCGCGAACCATTTCAACTCCCCCTCCCATTCCTCAGACGACATGTCCATCCTGGGCCTCCTGCAGTGCCACAATGATGCCACCCGAAGGTTGCAGGAACAGCAACTCATATTCCGCTTGGGAACCCTGCAGCCCAATGGTATCAATGTGGATTTCACAAGCTTCAAAATCTCCCCTCCCCCTACCGCATCCCAAAACCAGTCCAGCTCGTCCCCGCCTCCCTAACTTGTTCTTCCTCCCACCTATCCCCTCCTCCCACCTCAAGCCGCACCCCCATCTCCTACCTACTAACCTCATCCCGCTCCCTTGACCTGTCCGTCCTCCCTGGACTGACCTAACTCCCCACCTACACTCACCTTTACTGGCTCCATCCCCGCCTCTTCGACCTGTTTGTTTCCTCTCCACCTATCCTCTCCTCTATCCATCTCCTATCCGCCTCCCACTCTCTCCCTATTTATTTCAGAACCCCCTTCCCCTCCCCCTTTTCTGATGAAGGGTCTAGGCCCGAAACGTCAGCCTTTCTGCTCCTATGATGCTGCTTGGCCTGCTGTGTTCATCCAGCCCTGCACCTTGTTGTCTTGTATTTGTTATCTATCCAGTTTTCTCCCAGTAAATATCTGCCATTTTGAGCTCCTTCATTCTTTGAAATCAGACCCAATGTTTCAGCCAAATGTGGGAGCTGACCTGGAGCTGTCTCCGCCAGTAACAGCACACATTCGGTTTCTGCTTTGAGAAGCGAGTTTTTGACCTTGAATCATAGTGTAAAATTAGCAACATCAGATCATAAAAATATAAGAAATGGGAGCAGAGGTAAACCATTTGGTTCCTTGAGCCTGCCTGGCCATTCATGGCTGATATTCTAACTGAACTCCACTTTCCTGCCCAATTTCCAAGTTCCTCTAAGTGCTCAAAAATCAACAGTATTTGTTTTGAATATACTCAATAACTAAGCCTACTGATAGAGAATGCCAAAGACTCAACATTGTCTGAGTGAAGTAGTTTTGCCTTACCTCAGACTTAAATTGTCCATCTTGTAACTAGGGGTTATAACCATGGGAGATAGAGTCGAAAGCCAGGAGACACAGCCTGTAACAGCCATACAACTTGCCTGATTTTCTCTTCCATTTCCAGCACCAGTTTACACTATTGCCCAAAATCAGAATAACCCCCAGTATCATCTTGCAGTGACTCGTCTGAATTAAGTACACAAACAAGCACTATCTGCACTCCTATCAGCTAGGAATGTTTCTCAATAGAGTTCAAAGTAGAGGCACCAGATTTGACAATGTGTAATAGATTGCACAATGTTGATCCATTCTTTCATTTTCAGCAGATGTCATGATTAGGATAACAACGTGTGGACCTGGATGAACACAGCAGTCCAGGCAGCATCAGAGGAGCAGGAAAGCTGACGTTTTGGGCCTGGACCCTTCTTCAGAAACGGGAGAGGGGAAGGGGGCTTTGAAATAAATAGAGAGGGGGGGAGCGATGGTAGAAGGTGGATAGAGGAGCAGATAGGTGGAGAGAAGACGGACAGGTCAAGGAGGCGGAGATGAAGCTAGTACAGGTGAGTGTGGGTAGGGAGTTGGGATGGGGGTTGGTCAGTGAGGAGGGAGGGGCGGGTAGATGGGAAGGAAGACGGGCCGGTCAAAGAGGCGGGGATGGGATGGGCTGGTCTTGGGATGAGGTCGGGGGTAGGGAGTTGAAGTGGTTCGTGACTGGGAGGTGTTGTTGTTTGTCAGAAACCAAGCGTAGGTGCTTCACAAAGCGGTCTCCAAGCCACTACTTGGTTTTCCCAGTGTAGAGGAGGCCATACTGGGAACAGTGGATACAATATACCACATTAGCAGATGTGCAGGTGAGCATCTGTTTAATGTGGAAGGTTTTCTTGAGGCCTGGGATGGGATTGAGGGGGAAGGTATGGGGGCAGGTGTAGCACCTCCTGCGGTTGCAGGGAAAAGTGCCGGGGGTGGTGGGGCTGGTGTGAGTGTGGAGCGGACGAGGGAGTCGTGGAGTGAGCGGTCCCTCCGGAAAGCAGATAAGAGTGGGGAGGGAAATATATCCTTGGTAGTGGGGTCAGATTGCAGTTGGCGGAAGCGGCGGGGAATGATGCGTTGATTCCGGAGGTTGATGGGGTGATATGTGAGAACAAGGGGAATTCTGTCTTTGTTGTTATTGTGGGGAGGGGGTGTAAGGACAAGGGGCATTCTGTCTTTGTTGTTATTGCTGGGTGGGGGTGTCCATCCTGGGCCTCCTCCAGTGCCACAACGATGCCACCCGAAGGCTGGAGGAGCAGCACCTCATATTCCACCTGGGAACCCTGCAGCCCAATGGTCTCAATGTGGACTTTACAAGCTTCAAAATGTCCCATCCCCGACCTCTTCCCAAGACCAGTCCATCTCTCCCTGTCTCCTTGACCTGTCTGTCTTCCCTCCCACCTACCCGCCCCTCCCTCCTCACTGACCAACCCCCATCCCAACTCCCTACCTGCACTCACCTTTACTGGCTTCATCCCTGCCTCCTTGACCTGCCTGTCTTCTCTCCACCTATCTGCTCCTCTATCCACCTTCTGTCATTGCTTCCCCCTCTCTCTATTTATTTCAGAGCCCCCTTCCCCTCCCCCATTTCTGAAGAAGGGTCCAGACCCGAAACGTCAGCTTTCCTGCTTCTCTGATGCTGCCTGGCCTGCTGTGTTCATCCAGCTCCACACCTTGTTATCTCAGAGCCAGCATCGGCAGTTCCTACTATTTCGACATGATTAGGAGGTGTCTTGACCTGCACTGAAGTGACCTGCATGTGAATAATATGGTGGCTCGTCCCCGTAATCTGGAATTGTGCATGTTATGTTATTTCAGGTAACCTGCCTCTTTCAGTCAAACAGGATCTTCAGTGCTTCACGTGATAAAACAGCCCTAATGTGGGATATGTACAATAAAGCTGGACCACTACAGGAGTTTACAGGGCATGAACTGGTGGTGACCGGCCTAGCTGTGAGCCCAGGTATGAACACCGGAAGCCGTAATTCTCTGTAATATTTTACAATTTTTGTATGTTTCTCTTGCCACAAAATGTTTAACCAGGTCATAGCAAAGTTATGAGTTTATTGAAAAGGGAACATTTTTCTTTTTTTTTAAACAGAAAGAAGGGGGAAGAAAGGAAGAGAGTCGGAGGCAAGTTTAGAGATAACGACAGAAAGTGTCTAACAGACAGAAAGAGACAAGTGGAAAACTATCTGAAGGATGATAATGATTTAGAGAGTTTAAAAGGAAAAGTGTTGGCTACAGGTTAAAGAATTTATAAATCTTGCATATAGGCAGAAAAAGAAGAAAAAGGGAGACAGAGGAAAACAGAAGAGATTAACAGTTAGAGAGTGCGCAGCAAGCAGAGCAAGTTTTTGTTTCCATTTTGTCTCTGAGCAAAGCCACATTGCATTGTATTTTCCAATTTATAAGTATCTCTGGTAGAAATTGTATCTCTTCTTTCCTTCTATGTGTCAAACTATGAATGAAAAGACATTGTGCCTGTTCTGGACTTACTTTGTACTTTTACAGAAACAATCTGTTGACCTGAATGTTGCATTTCTGTTATAATATTGTCTTATTACCCTTTTCAGATGGTTTGAAACTATGTACAGGGTCGCGGGACAATTCCATGTGTATCTGGGATGTAGAGACAGGAGACTGTTTACAAAGCTGCTCTATTTCCAGGAATCTGGTAGGACCAGTTTGGGCCGAAGGGCCTGTTTCCATGCTGTATTATTCTATGACTAATTAGCAGCTGGCCACTGGTTCTTCTACTACGATTTGGATGATATTATAATGCAGTATTACAATGCTGAGAGGCTGAGTAAATAAGGACTATATGCTGGAGATTCAAATAATGAGCACTATTCTCTCAAAGGTGCCATATTTTAGATATTAAACTGAGCCTCTGTCTCTTTCTGCCTTCTTAGCTGGACTCTAATTGTCCTATGGCACTATTTCGATGAAGAGCAAGGAGTTTTTAATCACCCTGTTCTGGGATGAGCATTTGTTCCTCACAGAACCAGAAACTGATCGTCTAATTATTTATCACTTTGCTGATTGTGGTAGCTTGCTGTGTGTAAATTGGTTCCTGCATTTCTTGTTTACCAACAGGGAACATACTTCAAAAGTACACCATTAGCTTTAAGGCACTTTGGAAAGTCTGGGAACTATAGAAACATAGAGATCTACAGCTCAGAAAAAGGTCCTTTGGCCCATTGCATCTACACCAGTCAAAAGCAACCACTTCACTATTCTAATCCCATTTTCCATCACATGATCCATTGCCTTGTATGCCTTGGCATTGCAAGTGCACATCCGAATACTTCTTGAATGTTATGAGGATTCTGCCTCTACCCTGCTTACAGGCAGTGAGTTCCAGATTCCCATCACCCTCTGGGTGAAAAGATTTTTCTTCACATCCCCACTAAATCTCCTGCTCCTTACCTTAAATCTACACTCCCTGCTCATTGATCCCCCCCATCACGTGGAAAAAATTCTTCCTGTCTCCCCTATCCATGCTGCTCATAATTTTACACACTTCAATCATGCCCCCTCTCAATCTCCTCTGCCCTGAGAATAACCCCAGTCTGTCCAATCTCTTTTCAGAACTGAAACTCAGCAGTGTAGGCAACATCCTGGCAAATCTCCTCTGCATTCTATCCAGTGCTATCACTATCCAGGGCTGATAGTGTCAATTCTATTGAGTGTTTTTGTAGTGGCATTCATACATGCAGTACTTTAATATGGACTCTAGAACTGCACACGATACTCTAGTTGTGCCTAACCAGCATTTTATACAGTTTCAGCATACCTCTCAGCTCTTAAACTCTATGCCTCAGTATTAAAGGCATGTATCCCATATGCCTTCTTAACCGTTTTATCGGCCTGTCCTGATACCTTAAGAAACCAGTGTACATTGCACGCCAAGTTCCGTCTGATCCTTGTTGCTTTCCATGTATTCCCTTGCCTTATTTATCCTGCTCAAGTACATCAACTCACATTTATCTAGATTGGATTCGTTTTGCCAGTAATCAGCCCATCTGACCAGCTCGTCTATATCCTCCTGTAATCTAAGGCTATCCTCCTCACTATCTCCCACCCTACCAATTTTTGTATCATCTACAAAGTTTCTGATCAACTCTCCTACATACAAGTCTAAATCATTTATATAAATCACAAATAACAAGGGCTCCAACATTGATCCATGTGGGACCCCATTGAACATAGACTTCCAGTCAGAAAAACATCCCTCAACAATCACTCTTTTCTTCCTGCCACTCAGCTAATTGTGGAACCAATTTGCCAAATTTCTTGGATCCCATGGACTGTTATCTTTGCGATTAGTCTTCCATGTGAAACCTATCAAAAGTTACAAGTTCTTTCCTTCCTGAATTTCCATTCAACTGTACTAACTTTTATCTTTCACCTTAACTTTATTTATCAATTTCACTACCTTTGTTCATATACTGAAAGCCTGGGAACTATAGACCAGTGAATCTGACATGAGTGGTGGGTAAGTTGTTGAAGGGGATTCTGAGAGATAGGGTTTACATGCATTTGGAGAGGCTGGAACTGATTTGAGACAGTCAGCATGGCTTTGTGCTTGGGAAATCATGTCTCAAACTTGGCTGAGTTTTTTGAGGACATAATCAACAAGATTGAGGGCAGAGTGGTAGACATTGTCTACATGGACTTTACTAAAGCCTTTGATAGGGTTCTGCATGGTAGACTAATTAGTAAAGTTAGATCACATGGGATTCAGGGAGAGCTTCCCAATTGGATGCAAAATTGGCTTAATGGTAGGAGACTGTGGTGGTGGTGAAGGGTTGTTTTTCGGACTGGAGGCCTATAACCAACGATGTTCCATAGGGTTCGGTGCTGGGTCCACTTTTGTTTGTCATTTATATAAATGATTTGGACGAGAATTTAGGAGGCATGGTTAGTAAGTTTGCGGATGACACCAAAATTGGTGGTATGACGGGCAGTGAAGAAGGCTATCTAAGATTACAAAGCGATCTTGATCAACTGAGTCAATGGGCAGAAGAGTGCGAGATGGAGTTTAATTTGGATAAATGAGAGGTGTTGAATTTTGGTAAAATAAACAAGGGCAGGACTTATACAATTAAAAGTAGAAGCTTGGGTAGTGTTGTAGAACAGAGAGACCTAGGGGTTCAGGTACATAATTCTTTGAAGTTTACATCACATATAGATGGGGTGATTCAGAAGGCGTTTAGCATTGCTCAGACCTTTGAGTGTAAGAGTTGGGACATTATTTTGAGGTTGTGCAGGATGTTGGTGAGGCCTCTTCTGAAGTACTGTGTCCAGTTCTGGTCACCCTGTTATAGAAAGGATGTTATTAAATTGGAGAGGGTTCAGAAGAGATTGCCAGGATATTGCTGGGAATGGAGGGTTTGTGTTTTGGAGAGAGGCTGGATAGGCTGAGACTTTTTGTACTGGAGCTTAGGAAGTTGAGAGGTGACATTATATAGGTTTATAAAATAATGAGGGGTATAAATAAGGTGAATATCAGGTGTCTTTTCCCTAGGGTGGGGAATTTCAAGACTAGGAGGCGTATTTTTAAGGTGAGAGGAGAAAAGCTTAAAAAAGACATACTAGGCGTGTGTGAAATAAACTTCCAGAGAATGTATTGGATGTGGATACAGTTACAATATTTAAAAGACATTTAGATAGGTATATGAATAGGAAATGTTTGGAGGGATATAGACCAAGTGCAGGCAGGTGCGACTAGTTTAGTTTGGGAAACTTGGTTGGCATGGATGAATTGTACTGAACAGTCTGTTTCCATGCTGCATGACTCTATGATTCTATAATTTTAGATTCAGTCAGTTACAAAAGACATACAAAGTACTGATGTTCCCTGTCTGTTTTCTGCTAATGAATATGTTGAATAAAATCTCTTTAATTAATTGTAGAATTGTCTGATGAAAGGGCAAATATAACTCACTTAAACAGACCAGTATTTTGTTTTAATTCATTCATTAGATGTGGCCGTTGCTGGCTGGGGCTGTCTGTAGTGGTCTTTGAGAAGGTGGGGGTGAGCTGCCTCCCTGAACTGCAGCAGTCCATTTGGTGTAAGTAGACCAACAATGCTGCTAGGATGGGAGCTCCAGGATTTTGACCCAGCTACTCTGGGGTTGTGGAATTGTGATACATTTCCAAGTCAGGATGGTGAGTGATTTGTAGGGGAAATTGCAGATGGTGGTGTTCCCATGAATCTGCTGTACTTGTCCTTCTAGATGTAGTGGCCATGGGTTCAGAAGATTCGGTCTGAGGAGCCTTGGTGAATTTCTATACAGCATCTTATAGCATCCATCACCTTTCTGACTTGTGCCTTATAGATGATAGAAGGGCTTTGGGGAGTCAGGAGGTGAGTTACTTGTTGCAGGATTCCTAGCCTCTGACCTACTCTTGCAGCCACAGTATTTCATTCAGTTCATTTTCTGGTAAGTGAAAAGTTCCAAGATGTTGATAGCAGGGGATTAAAGCAATAGTAATCCCATTGAATATCCAGAGGGAGTGGTTGGAGATAGTCACCACCTGGCACTTGTGTGGTGTGAATGTTACTTGCCACTTTTCAGCCCAAATCTGAATATTGTTCAGGTCTTGCTGCATTTGGACATGGACTGCTTCAAAGTCATTCCCACTTCTAACCTTATGATGGAGGGAAGGTCATAGATGAAGCAACTGAAGATGGCTGGGCCTAGATCACTACCCATACAGAGGTGTCCTGAAGCTGAGATAATTGACATCCAAAAAAGATCATCAACTTCCTTTGTGCTAGGTTTGACTCCAACCATTAGAGAGTTTTCCTCTAATTCCTATTGACTTTACTTTTGCTAGAGCTCATTGAATTCACACTCGGCCTAATGCAGACTTCATCATCATCGTAGAATCCCTACGTTGTGGAAACAGGCCCTTCGGCCCAAAATGTCCACACTGACCATCAGAGCATCCCACCCAGACCCATCCCCTATAACCCACCTAATCTACACTATGGGCAATTTAGCATGGCCAATCCACCAAGCCTGCACATCTTTGGACTGTTGGAGGAAACCGGAGCACCCAGAGGAAACCCAAACAGATACAGGGAGAACGTGCAAACTCCACATAGACAGCTGCCCGAGGCTGGAATCAAACCTAGGTCCCTGGCATTGTGAGGTGGCAGTGCCAACCACTGAGCCACCGTGCCGTCACTTGATGTGAAGGGCTATCACTCTCACTTCACCTCTGGAATTTAGCTCTCTTCTCCATATTTGGACCAAGGCTGTAATGAGGTCAGGAACTGACTGGCCATGGCAGAGCCCCAAACTGGGTGTCACTGAGCAGATTATTGCTGAGGAGGTGCTGCTTGATAGCACTGTTCACAATACCTTCCATCACTATACTGATGATCAAGAGTAGACTAATGGGCTGGTAATTAACTGAGTGATTTGTCCTGTTTTCTGTGTACAGCACATACTGGGACAATTTTCCACGTAGTCAGGCAGCTGCAAGTTCAGTACTATTGCCAAAATAGTCAGGGCCTATAGTCTTTGGAGTATCCAGTTCCTTGATATCACAGTGTGAATCAGTTTGGCTGTAGCCTGGCATCTATGTTGTTGATGACCTCTGGAGGAGGTCGAGTTCCACTTGGCCCTTCTGTGTAGATTGTTTGTAAATGTTCAACCT